AATAACACTAGAGCAGTCTGCATAAAGGCACCGCAGCATTTGCTTCAACAGCTCTCAGCTGTAACAAAATCTTACACAGCTTACCTTGTTTTTTTCTGTACCAGTGTAATATACTGCCGTACAACACACTGGAGTTTTCCATTCTTCATTCTGCGTTCCAGTTATCAGAAAGTTACAAAACCCAAGAGAAAATACTAGACAGCTCAATTACACAGAGGACTGGAGCCCAAATTAAATTGCTCTATTAAGTATGCATAATTGGTATGGAACAAATATTTGAGTATCAAACCGCACCACAAAACAATGGGTGAAGCCTCACATTTTCAGGCTGCGCTGACCCACTGAAAGCTAACATCTAAGCCAACATCAAGGCCCCTGCCACCGCCTCACAGGGCAGTTTTCAAGGCAGCAGTGCTGTAGCTCCCTGCTGAGAACTGTTCCCTCAGAATTCCACAGCCCGTTGGTATTGTATTTTATTTTAGCACAATTGAGATACTCCCTCTCCTTGCCTTTTTATTTTGACTTCATTTTGCCATTTATCAACCTGCTTGTAAAAATTGTTTCCTTCATCACCTCAGGTACTCTCCAGCAACACCTCCCTTGCTTACATAAAAGTTACTTCAGTTCTGACTTCCTTCTCCATTTAAAGAAAATGATGGATGGCAGGAAGAAAAAATGGTCCAAAAGTGGAATCACCTCCACATAACTGTAATAACTTCTCACCCTCAAGCTCACCATCGCCTTCCCTCTGGAAGGACAACTTGGCAGCTCTGCAGAATTCTGCTCGGTTCACAGAACGAATGCAGTGCAAGCACAGCAACCACTGAGCACTTAGTGACTAGCCTGCCTGGGAACAACAGCAAGTCCAGAAGCTGCTACAAGAAAACACGTCTGAAATGCTTGAAGAGACCTTTCCTTTGTACAGTTACATCTACCCTGGAAGTCTACATTCTGAAGCCAAGCTTCCTGTAGTTTTGCTGAAGCAACCTCTCCAAATCAAGCTCCATCCACAAAATGATCATGCTTTCAACTCTTGACTGAGACTAGAGCCGCTCACAAACAACCCTGGCTAAACTAAGGGTTAAGAAGTGCCTTAGCATCCTCCAAGACTACACGGCACACTAGTTATTTCAGTATCAGCACAACACTAACCAACATCATCACACCCCCTTTTTCTTCAACCCTTTAAAAAAAAAAAAAAACGAACAAGGCAATGGACTTGCTAACAAACAAGGCTGCAGGGAGGCCAGACATACTGCAACACCCTCAAGGCTGACTAGTGGAGATGTTCTGCCAGCAGCACTGATCACAGAGCAGTGTCTTCCCACATAAGTTCACCAGCTTTACTGGCTGAGTGGCAGATACTGTAGTACTGCACTTCTGTCAGTGTTACTCATGCTTACACGGGGAGCCCTGCCAAGGTAAAGCAAATGAATACTTGACAGAAGGCCACCACATCCCACTTCAGAAGGGCTCTGCTGATTGCAGCATACCAGAAAGCCTGTTTTATTTGTCTCTAGTCCCATCAAGATGTGAACTGCTCTTGACAAGTTAGACAGACAACTTTATAGGAAAAATACAGTTTTTATATAGAGAGAGGACTGTTCTGCTCTTGAAAGTTACCAGAAGTTTAAACTCTTCTCCTATAAACTAAGCAAGTTTTAGCTTATTAACACGTAGCTTCACTACATCCTTTTGCGTGTTTATGCACATTTGAAAATATGACTCTATATAAAATGGAGGGAAATCTAGATGGGCACATTACATTTATACAGTTAAGATGTGCCAAACTGTACACAGTGATACCAAGGGAAATGTTTAGTCTTCGCTTTTGGTACAACAGAACTTCTCCTGTGGCATTTTTTTCCTCAAATAAAAAAAGTCATTTCCAGTGAGAGATCTGTTTAAATAATAACATAAAAAAAAAAAGGACCCCATTTACAGCTTCAGCTCATTAAAACCAGACAATTTAAACAGCCTCTTTTTTTAATGCAGAAGACAAAATTAGATTTTTTAAGTTCATCTATCATTCGGAGCAACCAGGACATAAACAACTTGGCTAGCCAACTCAGTGAAAACAAAATTATTTTAAAACTATTAGAGGCTTGCTTTGACACCCCATTCAGACCATGCATTATTGCTATGGCAGTAACAGCAAGAACAGCTCTTGCCATAAAGAACAGCCCAATCATTCACTTATAATACTAAATTAGGCTTCATTTATATGCACGTAGAAGTTACCTGCTCTAGCATGCATAGCCAGGCAGCTAGCCGCTATTAACTCCATTTACAGTGCTGCCAGTTATCCAGGTTTTAATTAATTGTGAGACCAAGAGGAAGACAGGAAATCAGGAAGAGCTCCTTCCCAGCCAAGCCACAGGCACCCAGAGCCCCTCACCCTGCCCTCCATGGCCCCCACCAGTACCGACCCATGGCAATGCTTGGCTGCTCTCCTCGCCAGTAGCTGTGCCTCCTCACCTGCCTGTTGGTAAAGAATGTCAAGAACCTATGAAACTCAAAAGAAATTACATCTGACAGCTTTCCCTGGTTCCCTGTTTTGTTGCTACAGTGAAAGAATTCCAATAGATTAGCAAGTGCATTTTGCTTCGCAAAAACAGTGCTAAATTACTGCCATCAAACCATGATCTAGAGCAGATTAATGCTCAAAGAAAATGAACCAGTTAGTTCAGTCTGGCATTATAAAGGAGCTTGATAGGCAGCAATGCCAAACAATTTTGTTTAAAGGCACAGAGGTTAAGTTAATGCTTATTTTATGTATAGAATGACTGACTTTGTGAGACTGCATTAGTGCCTTGGATACACAGGAAAGGATGACAAGGACAAGAGAGCAACAAAGCTGCGGCCCGTTCATTTATCACCCCGACAGACAGCCCTCACCAAAGAGAATCAGCACACAAATATACCTACCAAGGATCATTTCACCTATTTAGGGACTTTACACACCAAATTAGATATCAGTTCTATTAGATCTCAATACCTCAACTCATTTTTTGCAAAGCTTAAAGGTCCTTTAGCCAATATACTCAGCTGGAATAGGCCAAGGCTCAAAGGTTAATAGGACACAATAAAACTATTAAAAAGTATATTTGTAGCTCTTTTATAGGGCTCATTCTTCTTTATGAGATCATGCTACGTGCCTACAGGTTTCTCTATGCCAACAGCTCCAATACTCTGGAGATGCCATGGCCCAATTCCACTCAAAATAATATTTTGACCTCTCAACCAGCAGTCTGGTTATGTGATTACATGCTTCTTCTCCCGTTTAAAAACATATATATGTCACTGCAGCTGCTGCCGTTCAGCAAGTCTTACATACCACCAGTTCACCAAGGCCTTCTGAAGAAAAGACAACAGCCACAAAAAGCATCACTTCGAGCCACACCTGCATGTATCTTCCTTTTGTGTACCACGTGTAATTGAGGCATCACAGGAAGGGAAATCGAGAAGTTTGCTGCATTCCTAAACCACCTCAGAGCGCTCCAGTGAATAACGTCCTGCTTTCCTGGGCTCCTTCCAAAATGCAACCTCAAAACCATAGAATCCCACCTGGCATTCTTATAACAGAACATGCAAGAACCTGTAATGTGAACTAGAAATTTCATCAGCAACACATTCTCAGCCACAGTGATTCCCACTGATAAAGAATAGTACAGCTTTGGGAACAAGCAGAAAACTGGATGATGTATCAAATATCCTGCAAGCTACTGCTCATATTTGCATGAATGTGTGTCCGTATTTCAAATAGAGGAAATCCTGGGTAGATGTGTTATTTTTTTTTATTGACTGATGACACCAATAAGCCATTTCCCTTAACTCCGATTATTTGATTTTATGACATCTTATGCCTTATATAGCAGTGTTAATCCTCAGAAAGCAATCGTTAGCCTCCAAACATCACCAGAAAGAAAGCTGTATGATGTTTCAAGCACACTTCCAATATATATAGTCAAACAAGAAATACTAATTGGACATGAAAAACCACCACCACCACAGTTTCTCTGCTTTTAAGAAATTCTCATTAACTGTCACTAAGTACCTCTTAGTGGTACTGAGAAACTGTATCCTACTAACTGTGACCAAAATGATGCACCTCGTATTAAACCATTGAACAACCAACAGCATGCAGAACTTGCATTTGTCTGCAGAATTATTTTTGAGTTCATCAAGCATATGGCAACTTATGTAGACAAAGCTATTTGTTTGAAGCTATAAACATATACCACATTTAGATCTTCAGTTTCAAGTCACTAGACATTTATTCCCTCTGATTTTTTACAATAAAACAGCTAAGTATTATCAATTATATTCATCCCCCTCTATGCTGAAAGTCACCAGTTTCTCAAGCTAATTATAAGAACATTAAAAGGGACTTGTTTGCATCTATTCCTTTACCTAGAAAGGACACCTGTCTCATTTGAATCCAGAATTGGATCTGAATTACAGACTCATAGCTTGTGAGATTAATAACTAGTCTACTTAAATTTTCATTAACAAATCACAGAAACTCCTCCTGAAATGCAACATATTTGGGACAGCTGTTACTGTCATCATAGGGTTTGTCCGTTTATTTTGTCACACACTCAAGCACAACATTTGAATGATTCTTGAGAAAACTTAATTCTAAGCAGAGAAGGAGATCAAAGACATTTTAAGTGGCATTAAAAAAAAGATGTCATGTAAAATTCTCATTCCTTCACCAATATTTTCATACAACAAGAGGAAACACAAAACTGCTTGAAAAAGTTTTAAGTTCTACATCAGCTGCCAGACTTCTCTAATTATCTTCATGGCCACGGTCATGCTTTCCACCTCTGGTCTCCAGATTGGAGAGCTACAACACCTACAGGCAGATGTGTTTCATTTAAGAATATTCAACACACACCTCATTTGCCACAGAGCCAAGAAATTAGAATGTAGCATTAGTTATTTGAAAAGACACAGCAAAAAAAGCAAAGGTAGTGTTTTCATTCCAGCTCTACCTTATCTTTGTCTTCCACAACATCTGCCAGCACATCGTCAGGGTCCAGGATTCCTCCATCTGTATACTCCAGGTGGTGAATATTCACCCAGTAAGTTGGATCCTGTAAGAGAGAAACAAGTTTTCTCAACATAACCTCACAAGGTTTTATTGCCAACAGACAAAGCAGCTCTGTATCCCACCTCTTTGCCACCAAGGTGCACGGAGCTTCTCCTAAAATAAAAAATTACTGAAAAAAGAGGAAATTAAAACTGCAGACATAAGACTACCTATAAAATACTACGCAAAAAAAGTTTTAGAATGTACACTTGCATTGCCTTACACACTTGGATTTTTAAATTAAATACTTAGCTATTGGACAGTGCTTACATAGTACCAAGCTCTTTTCAGCTGCTTATGCTGCCTTGCCAGTGAGGGGTAGAAGGGGATGGTCAAGGCAGCTGACCCCAATGGAGTGAAGGGATATTCCATGGCATGAGCCATGGCACCCAGCAAAAAAAATGCTGGGGGAAAGAAAGAGAAAGGAAGGGCTGTTCAGCCACGCACACAGCTGTTGCTATGCCTGTTCCTCTTATCTCAAAGCAGGAGTTTGCTCACTTCTATCTTTCCACTCCTCTTTGCCATCCCACCAGGGGGGAATGAGAGAGTGGCTGTGTGAGGCTCAGCTGCCTACCAGGGCTAACCCACAACCCTTTTACCCCCCATGCTAGTTGGAGGGTTAGGTATTCATGTGGGTAGATGACAGCCACCTGACAAAACACACAGAATATCCCTATTTTATCTGAAATTTACCCTTAACTACAGTTATTTCATTTTGCGCTGAAGCCACCCATATGTTAAGCAGTAAGATATTTCTTTTTTTTTTTTTCTTTTCTTTTCTTTCTTTTTTTTTTTTTTTAATTTTAGGTATCAGGCATTCAAAACTCTAGGTTTTAATAGCAAGTTCTCATCTCTGCAAAGTGATGGCACAGTCAAATATTGCAGCTCAACACTCTATTTTTAAAACTCGTGATTTAATTATTTTTCTGTACCCACAAAATTCCTAAGATCAAAAGGTAGAGAGCAAATGTATCTCTGTGCAGCGAGCACGCAGGTTAACTTAAATCCAACAATTTACATCATGCTCAAACCTTGTGAGTGTCACTTGACCCTACCAATAAACCCACTACACTAGAAGTTTCTCTCAAATCAGAATGTATACCAATGGCTGCAGACGTTCCTCCTGAACCTTTTAACTCATGCAGTCACAAAAGGTGTTCAGAGATATCAATACTGAACCAACATACTTGTCAGCCACAGAAGTTTGTCTAACTAAGAGAAGTGAGTTTTATTTTTGCCTCAAAATACACTACAACCTGTTGTAAGTATTATGCCATTTAAGAGTCCCATACAGAATAGAGCTGATGTGAAAGAAAAAAAAACAAAGAGCTGATTGGAACGTTTCATTTTCAGTGTTTGCTTCTATTTGTGATTCTGTGGCTGCACCAACCCAGATGTGTCTTTGAAAGAGAAACAAAGGAAAAAAAAGAAGTGTAAAAGCTGCATTGTCCTAGTAGAATGCAGCAAGTTGGCAGGAAACAAGCTCAAGACAAAGGGCCACCCTAAATTCCATCGAGCTTAATGAAATCCCAATCTTCCTTTTACTGTAGGCCACAACAAATACAGCAATTTAGTGCTTTTGTTAAAGGCCACATGAGGAGAAAGTGAAGTCCAGATTAGTCTGCGAGAGCAGGAGACGTCATTCCTCACCAATGTTGGAGCAACTAGCAGCTTCAGGAACCACTTTTTTAACGGAAAGGAACAACAAATCGCACTAGAATACAAGAAGTGAAGCAGAACAAGATGCACGCGGCTCCTTTAGCAGAAGAGCACTTCCCAGCGAGGTGCTGTTCCCCCACACTCCGACCCGGACACCACATACAGCCACCTCAGCTCTTTGGGCTCAGGGACTGCCAGTGACAGCAGCCGCCAGAATGCAGCACTGCCCACCTGCCCTTCACAGCCCGGTTCCACATCAGTACTTCTATAAACCTCGCCAGCACTTCATCCCTGAAGGTGAGAAAACAGCTGCTGGTGCAGGCAGAGAGAGGTCATCCTTATGGAGTTTGATGAAGCAAATAGTAGCTACTTGTAGATAGGCTCGGTGGAGCAAGTTAGCACACAGCCTCTCTGCAGTTACAGCCATAATTCCTCTGAGCAGCACAACCCTCACCCAGTCCAAAGAGACTTGAAAGCACACAGCTCCCCAGAACATTGTCCAGATCAATAAATCTAAATGAGGACTTAAGTTCCCGGTGCCAACAAAACCAGACCTTAAGCTTATCTCATTAAGCAGCTTTGATCACGAATGTTCTGCACGCACAGGGGCCCTTTCTTCCACAGGAAAGGGCAATCAGTGCACAGTTTATTACGCACTGCCAGACATTTCTTCTGCAAATGCAGTTTTGTCATATCTCATACCTGCTTTGCACTGCCTTCCATAACTGCAGTACTTAGTGTATGTATGCTCTGCCTAAAGTAGGGAGAGCAAAGAAACCAGCTACTAATGAACGCAGCTGGCTTCAAATCCACATATCTGCTGTCTATCTGCTCCTGCATGCTCTCAGTGACACGAATGGGAAGGAATCTTACTATGCTGCATGTAACCTCCATACAAAATTTTAATTAAGGTACACAACATAAACATCGTCTAAATATTTAAAGGAAAAAACATGAACGAGTCACTTGGTACAATGCGTAGCAGCACTTCCTACATGAATATTAAACAGTTACAGTAACGTGCATTTTACCTTAAGGCTGCAAGTCATGTCTGTGTTCAACATCAAGCCACTTAAAAGCTGTTCATCATCATTTCCTTTATATGTGGGAGAACACTTTAGGAATTACTATGCAAATATTTACCAAAAGATAAATTAAAGCCAGGTCACATGAATACACACATACAATGTAGGCAGAAGTGACAAATTTAAAAAGTGGATTTCATGTTTGTTGTCACAGAATCTGAACTGTTGTCACCATACACAGTGCCTCCAGTGCTCACATCTAAAATAAACTCAGTAATTCTTCTATGCATTTGTTTCAGTCAAGAGTAAACATTCAAGTGAAAGATCAATCGCTCTAAGACACTCCCATTTGCTTTATTATTTAAATACACAGATAAAAACATAGTTAATATATCAAAAACTTGGGAGGACCATCTTGATTCCTTCCCCACACCCATGAATTTAGGTATTAAAGTGTCTACTTTTCTGAGAACTAAGCAACTTACTTTACAAATGTTGATGCTAATGTAGCATATCTCAGTCTTAATGAGTGAAAGAATACTAACAAGTTTAAGCACATTTGTGCTGGTCCATCAATAAAAGACCACCACCTACTGATCTCACAGTTCATCACTGTATGGTGCTGTTACTTGTCTTTAGCAGAATACAATCTCTAACTTGAAGTTTTTTAATTTGAATATGAAAAAATGCAGAAAGTAAGAGAATGAGTCAGTAAGACTCCATCCAGGGTTATTTCTCAGGCTGGTATTTTAGAAGCACCTCTACATTAATGTTTCACTAGAGCAATTTGATTCCAGCGAAACACAGCATGAAAAAGGAGGTATAAAAAAAAAAAATGAAAGTCGCATAAAGCTGCTCCACAAGCACAGAGACAGAATGAACACCAGGTCAAAGTCTGAAGGCAAACAATGGAGTGTGGCTATGGTGCTTTCTGCCATTGAGACAGCATTAAAATAGAGATTAAGAACTCGCAATCACAATATACTTCCTCATGAAGGGGACATTTTCAGTTAATGCCAATGAGAGAGAGAGAGAGAGAATGTTCTACCATTTAATCATTTTATATTGTACATATATTGCCATGTGATCTATTACATCCCAGCAGATAAGTAGCTGATGATTTCTATGAGCACGATAGGCTAGGTGATGCAGCACCATCCTAGCCAAGAAACACTATAACCCAACACTCACAAATCACAGCAGGCAGAGCTGACTACAAATGAGATGAGGATGGTGGCAGTCTCAAACTTAAAGCAACCCCAGCAGTCACCTGTTTGCATCCCACAAGCACCCCCAACCAAGCCCGATGAGTCCCCTACTCAGCATTTCAGCCAACCACCAGCAGCTGGGCCCCTTCACCACTCATACCAGAGATGGGGTTTCAGTTCCATGGGAACATTACTATGGAGTTCCCAAACACCAACAGATGATCAGTTAAATTCCAATTTGGAACCCTTCAAAAATAAGAGCATTCTGATTTGATATTGACAATCAATGAATGTACAGATGTTATAGTTATGAGATGTACCAGAGAGCTTGTCCACGCTGATTCTTATCTGAATAAGAACTAATCACTAAGTATGTCCCACTACCTGCACATTACTGAATACAACACAATGTAAGGCAACATTACAGGGCTGAGGGGTCACATAGCCCACACCCTTCCACTGCACTCCAACATCGAACATTTATGAAGTGTATTTCAGTGAAGAACAAGCATGCAAAACAAGAACAGACAAAGCTCTTTGGATACATACATTTAGAAAAAGAGGTCCACAAAGACTGCAGCTGTAAGAACTATGACAAAATAGCCCCAGCTGAAACTGAAGTGCCTGGTATGCCAGGCTTTGAATTAAAGACAATCTGTGAGAATGTAATTAAGAAATGCAAACAGATTTTCATTTATAAACTAATGTCAAGTTAGTTGAGAATGTTAGTTCAAAGCATTCAGTACACCTACAGACAGCAAAACCAAAGGGCTGGCTGTAAATTCATACAGCTCAGCTTGTTGCTAACTCCACGCTGAAATATGCCAGATCCTGAACAAAAACTGATGAAGTGCTCAGCAGCTACAAAGAGAGCAGACACCACTTCAGTCCTGCATCTAGATACTATCTGAGATTATTTTATTTACAACTGTTTGGCTTTCCTTTGTTGAAGTGATTAATGCATTCGCAGCTGCCCTAGGACCGCTTATCAGGAGCCCTCAGAGTTCCAAATGTGTGACTGAGTAACTGCAGACTCCTATCCCCACAGCACAGAATACAAATGCCAGTGAGACAATACAGAAGATCAGGTATGATTACATCCTCTAACACCGTATCATATACACTGAGCTTTAGATAAACCTCAAGTAAGGGAAAAA